TACTTTTTTCACCATTGAATTTCATTTTGTTAGATAGCGCCCAGTGTTCAAGTCTGTCCAGGTCCTCCTGTATCCTAAGCCTGTCTTCTGGAGTGTTGGCTATTCCTGCCAGCTTGGTGTCATCTGCAAATTTGATGAGTTCCCCATCTATCCCCTCATCCAGATCGTTGATGAAGATGTTGAAGAGCACTGGGCCCAGTTGACTGGTTGCCCAGAAAGCGATGTAAAATAGTATTATTAAGTGAACAAGGCTACAGTTATAAAGGAATTAGAAGAAAAAATGGTGGAAACTTAATCAAAGGTGGCATTTCCACTGTACACTTTTCCCAAAAGGTTTCCACAATTTTGGCCACTACTGTAGCTTGAAGAGTTGGGAATCAACTGTTGCTTTGAAAACTATCTTACTTGTCTCTGTGGTCTCTTTCACAGGATCTAACCTAGTCCAACTTTTTTTTTTAACTTAATAGCTTGTTTCCAAAGAGCTAAGCACACTGACTAGCTCGAGGGTTGCATTCTGTAGGCTACGGTCTGCCACGCACTTCTGAAATTGAAAGAATCCCACAATAAACTCACAGGGTGCTATTGGACTTGCTTAAAGAACAAGATACCCAGTTGGGCAGGTGTTAAAGACTAAAATAGCCTTGCAAAACAAATCCAAAAAAATAAAAATAAAAAAACAAACCCCTAAACACAGAGAAACAGCTACTAGCCTAAGATATAGATCCCACATCTATTTCAATATTTTGTGACTCAACAATTTTTTTAAAAAAAAAATATGTAAAGCTTCCCATGCTTGGCCCTGGGAAGCAATTAATAATCACCCCAGGAGGTTTCTCAAGTGCCTGACCTAAATTATATTTGAGTAGCAGAGTCTTAGGTTGCAACAGGCTTTTCAAACTGAGCCAAAGACGAGGGGAAGAACTTCACAAAAGGCTAAACTAAAGCGACTTTATAGATTTTCAACAATTCACTTTTCCTAACCTCTATAACTAGACCTGGATTATTCTCCTAGGAATGGACTTTATACAGCACGTACACAGGAAGACAGTCTATAGGTAGGAAGTTGTATTGCTACAACAACTAGTAATTTCAGTTCTGGCCAAGAGAGAGTAGTTGGGCACTTGATGTAAAGGTTCACGTCTTCCCTTCTGCTTTTTATTTTCTCCTTCTCACTGACACAAAAATACACAATGGACGGAAATTCATTCAGAGGGACACTTAAGTAACAGCACTCTTGTAAACACCACTAGAGAATACGCCGAAGCATAAATGTAGGGGAAACATTAAAAAAGTATAATCTCTGCTGGTAGTTACAAATAAGACGTGCTTTTACGGGAGACAGTGAAAAATGTACTAACGTGTAAGAGGTCCAAATAAAACGACATCCAAGGCCTTCAGCTGAAGTTTCTGCCTGTGGCTCCGATCGATAATTTTCAACTGAGAGATCATAAATGCAAGTTCATTAACTGCTATCCTGTGCACAATAAAATAAGAGGTTTTTAAGAACGGTGTCCTGAAAGGAACTGTTCAGGGTGTAACTAAAATGCATTCTGTTTCACGTTCAAAGACCTACAATCACGGAGGCAGGGTTATTTTTTTTTTTCTATTTACCGGTTTCATGGATTACAGGTACAGAAATAGTAATATGTCTGTAATATATTAAAGTAAATATAGGTAGTCCTCAACTTGTAATCACAGTTGAGCCCAACATTTCTGTTGTTAAGTGAGACATTTGTGAAGTGAGTTTTGCCCCATTTTTACGACTTTACTTGCCACAGTCACTGCAGCTGATAAGTTGGCAACCTGGTTGATAAGTGAATTTGGCTTCCCACATTGACTTTGCTTGTCAGGAGGTCACAAAAGTTTATCACATGACCCCCGGGACACTGCGACCGTCATAAATATGAACCAGTTGCCAAGCGTCTGAATTTGGATCACGTGACCATAGAGATGCTGCAAAGGCCGTAACTATGAAAATGGTCATGAGTCACATTTTTCAGTGTAACTTCGAACAGTCACTAAACGAACTGTTCTTAGTCAAGGACTACCTGTATACAAAAATGTCCATCTGTAAGATTTCCACAGCAGGTTAAAGATCATCCTACATAATGGATGGATCCGTTCTTCCCCAATAATATTATCTCCTCTTCCTCCTCCTCCTCCTCATCATCATGCCATCATCATCATCCTCACCATCATCAGTACTGTGGTAAGAGCAAAGACTTCATGTCCAGAAAGCTAAATTTGTTTTGTATGTGTGTTTAAGCAAGGCTTAAAACTACAATTTTGTCTCTTAAATCCCTCTAAATGAAAAGTAGTTTACAATGTTCCTACTGAAGCAGAGTATTAATATTATTATTATTATTATTATTATTATTATTATTATTATTAATAATAATAATAATAATAATAATAATAATAATAATAATAATAATAATAAAGTTGGAAGGGACCTTGGAGGTCATCTAGTCCAACCCCCTGCTCAGGCAGGAAACCCTATACCAAAGGTAGGCAATCTTGGCTCTTTTATGACTCGTGGACTTCAACTCCCATAATTCCTGGCTGGCTCAGGAATTCTTGGAGTTTAAGTCCACGAGTCATAAAAGAGCCAAGGTTGCCTACCCCTGTCCTATACCATTTCAGGCAAATGGCTGTCCAATCTCTTCTTAAAAACTTCCAGTGTTGGAGCATTCACCGCTTCTGGAGGCAGGTTGTTCCACTGGTTAATTGTTCTAACTGTCAGGAAGTTTCTCCTTAGTTCTAGGTTGCTTCTCTCCTTGATTAGTGACTATGTTTTTGCTCAAAAGATGTGTAGATTGGTTTAAAGTACAATTTTAGGAAGCATTTAAAAATAACGGACGTAAACGCCATAAAATCACACATAGTCATTATGGATATAATTGCTTCACGTATATGTAATCCTGCACTAAAAGAAAATAATCTGTAAACGATATTTTAATATAAATGTCTACATTGCTTTGGTATATTTCACTGTTCATGTTCGGTGCAAGCTGGAAGCAGGATAAAAACAGAGGAAGTATGTGTGTTTCACAGAAAATGATCAAAATGGAGGGTGTAAAGGTACAACTTCTACCGAAATTAATTCGATTGAAAAAAAAAAATGACCTTGGCAACGTTGTTCCTTTGACATTATTTTCTCGGAAATTCTTCTCATACTGAGGAAGTTCGACGAACTCCACCAACCACTGAAGCGTCTCTTCTTGCGTCCAGTTGTGAACTGCAACAAATGTAAAGAGACGTTATTTTGCGCAGGCCCGATTATCCGGAACTGAATCAACAGGCCAAACACAGAGCAACAAAATAAAAAGTAAAAAATTACTTTATTGGCAAGTCTGCCTTTCTCATCATGTGCTCATCAGAATGAAGATTATCGAAAGATTATAAGCGAGTAATTCTTTAAAATATTCCTTTATTAAAAATTCCAGGGCGTATTTGAAACATGAAATCTTGTGACCTATAAAATGCGCTTGGGAGCTTTTGACCGCTGCCATCCTCTTCTGCAGAAACTTGGCTTCGGAATTGACCTGGCATCTTTTCTCTCAAACAATGGAGTCAATGTGTTTACTTCGGAATCCCACGCCAGTTGTGTAATGCTGGCGTGTGTGCAGTGCCAAAGGACGGCAAGGAGAACAAAGAAACACCAGCAACATGCAGATAGCGAAATACAATCAGTTGTGGCACTTAAGGAATTGTACAGGTGATCCTGGACCTGGGAGCTCAACTGAGCCCAAAGCAGCCGTCGCTAAGCAAGACAGTTGTTAAGTGAGTTTTGCCCCATTTTACGGCCTTTCGTGCGCCGGTTGTTAAGTGAATCATGGCAGGTGTTAAGTCAGCAACATGGCTGTTAAGTGAATCTGGCTTTGCTTCTCAGAAGGTCGCAAAAAGGGATCACACAACCTCGGGACACCGCAACCGTCATAAATATGAACCAGCTGACAAGCGTCCCCCTGCCTGTAACAGTCATAAGTGTGAAAAACGGTCGGAACCCCAAATAATGTTCTGCTACATCATCCCTCATTCGTTGTGGGTTCTCCAGATGGGCCAATCGTTTTTTTCCTCCACAGGCGGTCCTCGATTTACGACCACAATTTCTGCCCAAAATTTACGTTGCTAAATGACATTTATTTAGTGAATTTTGCCCTGTCTCACAATATTTTTTTCTTGCCACCGTCGTTTAGCGAATCACTGCAGTTGTTAAGTTAGAAACTCAGTTGTTAAGTGAATCCGGCTTCCCCATTGACTTTGCTTCTCTAAAGGGGATCATGTGACCATGCAACCGTCATAAGTATGAGTCAGTTGCCAATTGTCTGAATCTTGATCGCCTGACCATAGGGAGGCTGCAACGGTCGTTAAGTGTGAAAAATAGTCGTAAGTCACTTTTTCCAGCGCCGTTGTAACTTTGAATGGTCACTAAATAATAATAATAAAGTTGGAAGGGACCTTGGAGGTCATCTAGTCCAACCTCCTGCTCAGGCAGGAAACCCTATACCAGGGGTAGGCAACCTTGGCTCTTTTATGAATCGTGGACTTCAACTCCCAGAATTCCTGAGCCGGCATGGCTCAGCTTAGAAACCTCTCCCTTTTCCCTCAGCATGGCTGGCTCAGGAATTCTGGGAGTTGAAGTCCACGAGTCATAAAAGAGCCAAGGTTGCCTACCCCTGCCCTATACCATTTCAGACAAATAGCTGTCCAGTCTCTTCTTAAAAACTTCCAGTGTTGGAGCATTCACCGCTTCTGGAGGCAGGTCGTGAATTGTTGTAAGTCGAGGACTACCTGTATTTTATCTTGACGTCAGTTAAGGCAATAACTTTCTCCCCACATCGCATTCAATTTCTTTTTAGAGCACATTCATTGCGCAATTTTATCCAAGTTTATTGGTATGTGATACATACAGCTATCCCCAGTGTAGGAATTTTTACTGCTTCTACGATAGAGTAGCAGATTGCAATTTGTTCTTTATGGCATATGCGTAAGCCCTGCCTCTTCACTTCCAAACTTGTATACATCACCATGATTCAGAAGATCAAGGCACCTTTTACACCCTTTCCTTTTCTTATACCCTAAGACACACACACACACACAGAGAGAGAGAGAGAGAGAGAGAGAGAGAGAGAGAGAGAGAGAGAGAGAGAGAGAGAGAGAGAGAGAGAGAGAGAGAGAGAGAGAGACGCCATTTTTCTTTCTTTATATCTCTAAAGATTATACACATTATACTAATAAACATTGTCCACCAATGGACTTTTTCTAATGTTTGTTCCAACATTCTTTATTACCTACTTTTTATTTTTAACATTTTGCCGATGTACATTTAAATCTAAAAATAATAATAATGATAAATGATTAACTTATAAATATGGGGCCACACCAGGAATTGAAGGCAAAATGCCATTATTCGTCCTCAAGAGCACTGTCCACTAAAAACTTTTGACATCTGAGCATCACTGGGCAGCCAAATATATAATTGCACAATTTATGAGGGGTGCGCAGTTTAGTTCCAAGGAAAAGAAGAAGCTATTTATTTCCAAGGAGACAGAGAAGTGTTTATAGCGTATGTAATGGCTATGTATCCCAAACTTCCTGCTTCGTCACAGCCATTTATCTTGGAATCACTGGAAAGGACAACTATTTCTGGTTGACACAAGCGTGGAAGCTATGGTGGAGAGAAGATGTGATAAGGCAGGTCTGGAGAGATGAAATGGATTCCTGTTGAAAAATAGCAGGTCAAAGAGGAACTAAAATGAGTAGAGTACAATACTATTAGGAATGTACAGGTGGTCCTCGACGGGCCGAGTTGCCTGGGGTTGCCGGGCAACGGCGCGGGGCGGGGGCCGCATTCCGACCGCTTGCAGCGCCCTAGTGAGCAAAGCGCCCGAGATAAAAAAAAAGTCCTTTGTAGAAGCAGAGACTGTGCAAATCATTTCACGCATACACACAAGCATACACACGTGTCCTCGTCTCGGAGTCCACATAAAACCAACCTGGGACAAAAAAGGGGTTTGCAACTTGGCAGGACCGGGACTCAAGATGGGTTCATGCCATCTGCCCGGTCTTTTTGGAATACATTCAGAATAACAGTTGGAAAGGACCTTTGAGGTAGAATAGAATAGAGCTGGAAGGACCTTGGAGGTCTTCTAGTCCAGCCCCCCCCCCATTCAAGCAGGAGGACCATCTCAGACAAGTGACTGTCTAATCTCTTCTTTAAAACCTCCAGTGATGGAGCGCCCACGATTTCTGGAGGCAAGCTGCTCCACTGGTTAATTGTCCTCACTGTCAGGAAGTTTCTCCTTAATTCCAGGTTGCTTCTCTCTTTGATCAGTTTCCAACCATTGTTTCTTGTCCTGCCCTCTGGTGCTTTGGAGACTAGGTCAATCCCATCTTCTTTGTGGCAGCCTCTCAAATACTGGAACACTGCTATCATGTCTCCCCTATTTCTTCTTTTCTTTAGACTAGCCAAACCCAAGTCCTGCAGCCGTTCTTCGTATGTTTTGGTCTCCAGGCCTTGGATCATCTTAGTTGCTCTTCTCTGAATTTTTTCCAAACTCTCAAACATCTTTTTTGTGATATGGTGGCCAAAATTGGCTGCAGTATTCCAGGTGTGGTCTTACTAGGGCTTTGTAAAGCAGTACTAGTACTTCACCTGATCTTGATTCTATGCCTCTGTTTATACAACCCAGGACTGTATTAGCTTTTTTGGCTGCTGCTGCACATTGCTGGCTCATGGTCAAGTGATTGTCCACTAGGACTCCAAGATCCCTCTCACAGTTGCTGTTTTTGAGCCAGATCTCGCCCAATCTGTACTTGCACCTTTGATTTTTCCTGCCTAAATGTAAAGCTTTGCTTTTCTCCACATTGAAACTCATTTTGTTGGATAGGGCCCATTGTTCAAGTTTGTCAAGATCTTTTTGGATCCTGAGTTTGTCTTCTGGGGTGTTGGCTACTCCTGCCAGCTTGGTGTCCTCTGCAAATTTGATGAGCTCCCCTTCAATTCCCTCATCTAAGTCATTTATGAAGATGTTGAAGAGTACTGGGCCTATATTTACAACCACAACTGAGTCCAAAATTTCTATTGCTAAGCAGGGCAATTGTTAAGGCAGTTTGAAACAGTTAAGTTAGTGACATCACAGTTAAGTGAATCTTGCTTCCCCCATTGACTTTCCTTGTTAGAAGGTCACAAAAGGAGAACACATAACCCCAGGACAGTGCAACCTTCATAAATACACAACAGTTGCCAAGCTTCCAAATTTTGAACACGTGATCATATGATCAACAGTTGTAAGTGACTTTTTTTCAACGGCATTGTAACATTGAATGGTCAGTAAACTAAATGGTTGTAAGTTGAGGACTACCTGTACAACCTTTGACAATTTGGGAATAGAAAATTCCAGATAAATCTGGAAGGTTCTGTTCACCACTGGATCATCCGAAAACTCTTGAGACCATGCCGTTTAGAAGCTGGTTTCGCAATTTCCACTAACCATAGTTTTCCAGAAGATTCTATTTACAGTTCTTAACTCGGCACACCTGGTTACTAGTATCAAGCTTCTTTTTAAAAAAAAAAAAACCTTGCTGCTTTTATTGCAAAATGTGCTGAAATGCTTCAAAATGGGAAACAGTACATAAATAAATTAAGTAGCTAAAAATGTCAAAGTTATCCGTTTGTGCCACTGAATTTAGATGTGTAAGGCTTCAGGGGAAAAAAATAGCATTATTTTAGGGTGATAAATATGCAGCTGCTGATTCCAGCATCACTGGAGTTAAATAATTATAAATGAATTAACTAAATTAATCTCATTCTGGGATCTGACCAGTCAGCTAAATCTCAACGTATTTTTCTAGTCATCGTTCTGAGGCAAGTAAGAGTTTAAAAGATCCTTCTGAATTGAAGTCTGTCACGAGAACAATTTAGTACAAGCCATGAAGTTTTGCCATACAGCAGCACATTACTGAAACAGGGTTTCTGTCCACCATAAAACTGTGGAATCTGGCTGACGATCTCGCAAGGATTAATCGTGTTAATTTTACTAAGAGACTAATCCTGCCACAGAATTCTCTCAAGAAGAGAGACGTAGAACTGTCCCTCCATCAAATTACTTTAAAAAGCCTCAACTACATGCTTGCCATGATAAACTGGGGTGTGCTACCCACAGAAATGGGATTGAGTCAGTTCCAATGAACACGCCCGATCACGGTCAGGAGAGATCGTGGTTTTGCGCGCACAGGAATGCTTACACTGTTGAAGTATGTGTTTTTAGGTCTAACAGAAAAATGCACTCTTCAATAGAGACATTAATTCCTCAACAGGTTTATGAGATGGACAATAAAGGTCTTATCTGTAATATATTTCACAGTATTGTCTCCTTGCTAAGTCAACAGGGCAATGGCAACTTCGGATTCCTATTTGGTTATATAAATTAGTTGCTAACCTTGGCCGTGTTTCTTAAGGGTGTCCTCTTTCTGCAAACTCATTTCCCTTATTTTTCCGGTGCATTTTCCCTGCATCTGTCTATGGAGATTCTCAATTATCCAGGTCATGGTTGTCCCAAAGGAGCTTTTTTTCCAAAAGGCAACTGGGTTTTCTTTCTTTTTCCTTGAAGATGTTTCGCTTCTCATCTAAGAAGCTTCTCCATTTTGGAACTGAAGAAGAACTCAGAACTACTGAGAAACTGGAGAAGCTTCTCGGAGGAGAAGCAAAATTTCTTTGAGGAAAAACAAAGAAAGTCCAGTTGCTTCTTGGAAAAGCACCTTTGGATTCCCCGGCATTTTCTAACTCTTTGGAAAAGAAAAAAATCTCCAACTTCTGAAGCAGGTATGGTGTGCGGGAAATTAAATGTGAGAGGAAAAATTCTCCCAACGCTAACGTTTCTTTGCGTGTGAACTCTTCACTGGATACCCTCTTTCTAAGTTCTCGTTGTGCTGTTAAAATCTAGAAAAAAAAGGGAAGTTGACAATCAAAGAGAAATAAAGCATGAAGAGGTTACTGAAATTGCCTGGCTGAGGAATTCTGGGAGTTGAAGTCCACAAGTCAAAAAAGGGCCAAGTTTGAAGGCCCCTGGTCTAGTGGTAGATCTAGTTCTACCTTAGGGGTGAAATCCAGATGGGTGACTTTGAGCCAGTCGCCCTCTCTCAACCTAACTCACCTCACAGGGCTGTGGCTGTGGGGAAAATAGGAGCAGTCGGTTATTTGTAAAAAATAATAAAAGTGGGAAATAAACAAACAAAAACAAAACAAAGTGATTTTGGGCGGCTTACAAATAATAAAAAAGATAAATATAAAAACAATTACAATGAAACAGAGCTACACTGTATAGAAATATGATCTTCTGAACTGTACAATTCCAGTCCATTTAATGTTATGGATTTATCTTCCACCGTGTTCAGCTTTCTTCTTCTTCTTGCGTGCCATGTTCCCATTGTAATTCTGCCTTTGCAGATTCTTATTTGCTTTTCCTGCACGCCGGCATGAGTAATTAGATGCCCTAAAGGTCTTAATCTTGCCATGTCATTAGTCCAGAAAAAAACTTCAGCTCTTCCTCAGCACGTTAGAAAACAGAATGTAGAATAATAGAGTTGGAAGGGACAACTTTGGAGGTCATCTAGTCCAACCCCCTGCTCAGGCAGGAAACCCTACACCAGTGATGGCGAACCTTTTAGAGACCGAGTGCCCAAACTGCAACCCAAAACCCACTTATGCATCGCCGGGTGCCGGGTGGGCATGGCCACTGAGTGGGCGTGGCCCCCAAGCTGTCGGCTCATGCTCGCTCACTCGCTTGCTGTCCTCTCCGACTCGTGCTCGCTAACAAGCTGTCTCCAGCATATGCTGCTTCCACAGAAAGTTGCTCCTCACCTATACCCAGATTGCGCATGCGCGAAGAGGAGGAGGGAGCAGCTCGGCCCAGAAATGGCTCGCGTGCCACCAGAGATGGCTCCACGTGCCGCCTGTGGAACGCGTGCCATAGGTTCGCCACCATGGCCCTATACCATTTCAGACAAATGGCTGTTGCCCAGTCTCTTCTTAAAAGCCTCCATGATGGGGCACCCACAACTCTGAAGGCAAGCCATTCCACTGGTTGGTTGTCCTTGTCATTAGGAAATTTCTCCTTAGTTCTAGGTTGCTTCTTTCTCTGATTAGTTTCCATCCATTGCTTCTTGTCCTGCCTTCTGGTGCTTTGGAGAATAGGTTGACACTCTCTTCTTTGTGGCAGCCCAGTTGATATTGGAATACTGCTATCATGTTGAATGCCCTCTGACCTGAGAGGGCCCATAGTCAGGCACTATATCATCCCTTTATCACGTCTTTATCATATCAGGTCTTCTGGTAAAATACAGGAATGATTTATTATTGTCTTCTTTCATGCAATATGATTTTAACTCAAGAGAGCATCTGCTGCCCAATATAAGTGCCTGCTTGCTTTAGTTGGCAACAGGGATGACCTTCATCACTTTGGTGACCTTGCTGGGATTATATATACGCTCTTAAAATTCTTTATTTTCCTCTTCTCTCCAAGAAATGCCACTACCACAATGAGGCAGCAGAGAAGGATTTGGGAATTTCATTACTAAACAAACCCAATAAATAAGACAAAAGCAAGAAATATTGACAGGTACACAGCTACAATATTTAAACAGTTGAGAAACGATTAAGAAAGACTCCTCTACGCCTAGCAATTCCAGTAAAATCTGTACTTTTTTAAAATGAGCATTAGAGAGAATATTGAATTTGTTAGCTACCGCAAACCACATGGCATATTGTCTTGAAATGCACACATTTCAGTAAGTGAGAATGCAAAAAAACCTGCCTGAAATATGGGAGATTAATACTTACGAATATGGGCTATTGTGAGTTGCTTTCCTAAACTGTTCAAAGGGTTGTTGAAAAAATGTATTTAAGGAACACTTGACATTCACAAATGCAAACAGGAATTGCAAAAATTCCAAGAGTTATCCCTGTTGTCTCAAGAAGATTTGTGATTTAGTTCTATGTTAAATCTGACTTGCATTACCAAAATCAAATTTGATAGTATAGGCCAGGGGTAGGCAACCTTGGCTCTTTTATGACTCGTGGACTTCAACTCCCAGAATTCCTGAGCCAGCCATGCTGAGGGGAAAGGGAGAGGTTTCCAAGCTGAGCCATGCTGGCTCAGGAATTCTGGGAGTTGAAGTCCACAAGTCATAAAAGAGCCAAGGTTGTCTACCCCTGGTATAGGTGTAGGAGAAGGAGGGGCAGAACTTGGAGAAAGTGTCAAAAGAGGGATCAACCTAGAATCCCTACATAACAACAAATGAACTAAGTCCAACCCTCTTTAAATCGTTGACTCTTATCTAACCCCTAGCATATGCTAAACTTTAGTTGAGAAGTTTCCCGTGCATAGGTTTTTAGCAATAAATCATTATGTAGCTCTGATATTTTGCACCTGCAGAGGCTTCTTCGACTTACCTCAAAATGTCTACAACACATTTTATGGGATATTCTGTCAAATGCCGAAATCATGATTTTTATCTCAAAAGTTTGTCATTTCCCAGAGCGATCCAGGCCCAGACCAGGAAGCATTTATTTTCTTTTAAGAGATTAATTTACGTCACGTTATACACTTTGGCTTTACACGTTTTAGCTTCCATTTTCTTCCTCTCCTTCATTTGCATGGCATTAAATTGCTTTTTATTATTATACAGAGTGGAGGAATTTTTATTATTATACACAGCGGAGGACAGAAATGAAAAAGGCACAAAATGAAGGCCTTACCCTCTGATGTTTTCCACCGTTTCCACAAATCCTCAATGGTGATGTGCTTGTCTTCTCTGTGCAAGTGGCTGTGTTTATTAGACGCATCTTTATATTTCATATCTTCTCTGATAAACTGAGAAGAGAAAATTGTGGTATGAAATACGTTATGTCGGGCACGTTGTAAAAACTCAAACCAATGGTGCTGAAATTAGTCACTTCCGGGTTCAGATAAGAAATTTCTTTATATATCTAGTCATTATTCTTAATCACTCCATTGGATAATCATTACAATTAAAAAAAAATAGAAATAATCCCTAAGCAAGGATGGACAACTTCACCACCTAATATCATTTATTTCTTTCAAATATGACACAACTGGACAATATTTCTCTCAGTCCACATGCTACAAATACATTACCAATAGTGAAGAGTAACGAAAAAAAAATAGAAGACAAAATAACTGGAATATTGGCTGACGTAACTACAGGTAGTCATTGACTTACAACAGTTCGTCTAGTGACTGTTCAAAGTTACAACGACCACTGAAAAAAGTGACTTATGATCCTTTTTCACACTTATGATGGTTGCAACATCCCCGTGGTCACACAGTGATCAACATTCAGATGGGCAAATAAGTACATATGCCATGTACTTTAATAAAATGCCTTTAAAAAAGACATTTCATTTACCTCCACTGCTTCCTCCTTGTCAAAATAATTATCTTATTTCATATACAGTTTTTCCCCTTACAAAAGGACCAGACAAAATTAAGAGAATAGAGGTTGGAGGTGGAGTTGAGGGTAGCAAATTGCAAAAGAGAGAAAGAAAGAGAAAGAGAGAGAGAGAGAGAGAGAGAGAGAGAGAGAGAGAGAGAGAGAGAGAGAGAGAGAAAAGAAAGAAAGAAAGAAAGAAAGAAAGAAAGAAAGAAAGAAAGAAAGAAAGAAAGAAAGAAAGAAAGAAAGAAAGAAAGAAAGAAAGGAAGAAAGACAGACAGACAGATAGACTGACTGACTGACTGACTGACTGACTTAATTATTAGCCAGAATTATTTGGGTCTGATAAATTAGTCAATAGTTTTAAAATCAATGGGAAGGAAGGGAGGAAGGAAGGAAGGAAGGAAGGACAAATAGGGAAAGAGAGAGAGAGAGAGAGAGAGAGAGAGAGAGAGAGAGAGAGAGAGAGAGAGAGAGAGAGAGAGAGAGAGAGAGAGAGAAAGAAAGAGAAAGCCCTATTCAAAAACTACAACTGTGTATATTTAAAATTATAATAATAAAAGAAGCTGATCAAACAGTGGATCACCCAATTATCTGCTGCAAAAAGATCACACAGACGGATTACAAATAAACAGCAAAACAAAGGGGTCACATTGGAATACCTGCAAAAAATGCCAGTTGCCTGGAAGCAGAACTGCTGGTGGGACCACAAAATAGATAAATAGAAAGCGAAAAAGCTAAACTGCTCTGGGAGTTCCGAATTCAAACGTATTATTATACAACATCTGCCTATCCCAGGTCCTTGGGAAGGACTCCATGGGTGGGCAAAAAGGCCAATCCACTCTTGAACACCTGGCTGTGTGACCAACCATAATAAAATTAAATTTATATGCCATCCGACTCCTTGTGGCTCTAAATTCACAAGCAACCGTTCCTTTTCAACTAGAGGACCACCTTCAGAGGCATCCAAACTCTGCAACAAGCTTTATTTCCCACCTGCTCTTTTATTTTCAACCATTCACTGATGCTTCTGAGACGCTGACAGCTCCTCTCAATTTAGAGTAATTAATTAGAGTAGGGGGAAAACCCCTTCCTGCAACAGAGCATTAAGCCTCCAGAAGACAGGGAGAAGTTACTGTTTTAATATTCTGTCCCTGAATCTCTGAAACTAGTCCTCACCACAAAGCTAGCGTTCTTGTAAAAGTCAGCAGTAAAGTTTTTAAAAGGACAAGAACAGACTTGCAAAGGTATGTGGCAATTATAATGCTGTGGCCAATGTGTTCCAAAGAGTAAATTGTAATAATCGCCAGATTGCCAATTTCAATTGGGCTTATCATCTGATTTTTGCAGAGGTATAGGTAAAAAGCAGAGACATCACCCTGCCAACAAAAGTACGTATAGTCAAGGCCATGGTTTTCCCAGTTGCAATGTATGGATGTGAAAGTTGGACCATAAGAAAGGCTGAGCGCCAAAGAATGGAGGCCTTTGAACTATGGTGCTGGAGAAGACTCCTGCGAGTCCCCTGGACTGCAAGGTGATCAAACCGGTCAGTCCTAGAGGAGATCAACCCCGACTGCTCTTTAGAAGGCCAGATTCTGAAGTGGAAACTCAAGTACTTTGGCCACCTAATGAGAAGGAAGGACTCCCTGGAGAAGAGCCTAATGCTGGGAAAGATGGAGGGCAATAGAAGAAGGGGACGACAGAGAATGAGGTGGCTGGATGGAGTCCCTGAAGCAGTAGGCGTGAGCTGAAATGGACTCCAGAAGATGGTAGAGGACAGGAAGGCCTGGAGGAACATTGTCCATGGGGTCGCGATGGGTCGGACACGACTTCACAACTAACAACAACAACACTTCCAATATGATGTACTGAATGTTTACAGCAATGACAGCTATGTAGGTAGTTTTCATTTTGCACAAGGTGATGCGAAAGATGTATTCCTATTTTCCTATATAAATTGTCTGCAAAAACAAAACATTAACAAGAATAAATCTTCCCTAACCATCTTTTAATAAGAGGAAAAGAGTTTTGTTTTCCTTTTCTTACTATACCAATATGCAGTCAACTCTACCCCTCATTTTATAGTACAGGTAATCCTCAACTTACAACAATTGAGCCCAAACTTTCAAAACAAGACAATTGTTAAATGAGTTTTTGCTCCATTTTGTGACCTTTCTTGCCACAATTGTTCAGTGGAATACAGCAACTGTTGAGTTAGTAACTTGGTGGTTAAATGAATCTGGCTTCCGCATTGACTTTGTTTGTCAGAAGGTCTGCAAAAGGGGATCACAGGATCCCGGGACACGGCAACCGTCATAAATATGAGTCAGTTGCCAAGCCTGCAATGGTCATAATGTGAAAAACAGTCATAAGTCACTTTTTTTTCAGTGCTGTTGTAATTTGGGAGAGTCATTAAAAGGAATGATTGTTGGTCGAGGACTACATGTATCATCACAAACTCTCATTTTTCAAAAACATTTTTTTTTCAAATCTAATGTAACACTTGAGAACTAGATACCTCAGCAGGGGTCTTCAAACTTGGCCCTTTTATGACTTGTGGACTTCAACTCCCAGAATTCCTCAGCCAGGCACACGTGCCTGGCTGAGGAATTCTGGGAGTTGAAGTCCACAAGTCATAAAAGGGCCAAGTTTGAAGACCCCTGTACTACGGTATAATGGAGAGAAAATTCAGCTCTCCTATTCTGTATCTGTGACAGCAATTATACATCATCGAACGTTATGTTAAAATTTTTCCAATATCAAGTACTTAAAAACCTATCAAAAAACATCTAGACTAAGTCCCCTTGAGCTTTGTAACAAAGGTCTGCAGGAATAATTTTGTTATACAGAACTATATGCAGTTCAGCAAATGTGTAAATCAGGGCTGTCCAATCTTGACAACTCTATGACCCGTGGACTTCAATTCCCAGAATTCCCCAGCCAGTCAGCCATGCTGGCTGGACAGTTCTCTGAGTTGGAAGTTCACAAATTTTAAAGTTGCCAAAACTGGACACCCCTGGCTGTAGCTGACATTTTATGTCACTGTTATCGGATTCATTTTATGATTTTTCAGCCTGAAAAAAAGGTCAATCGTGGTTCAGAGGAAGTCACTGAAGATAAGAAGTCAATAAACCAATTCTGCAATTTCTACCAGCATGCCTTTTATATTTTCATCCTTAGATTACTGCAGATTTTATTTCAAGCTATTTCTTGTGGCTTTTCATGCTGTAGTTTTAAATGTCCACTGGGCCTTACCATAATGTAAAGCACAGTAAAAGGAAATTAGAGAAGGAAACATGAACAAACAGAGGAAAGGACTTAAAAGCTATGTTAACACAATCTAGAAAGTTAATATTTAGATAAATAAAATTCTCTTTATCCAGCAACGACATAAGTCTTGATGATAAGCAAGTTCTACCACAGATGGTATGCTGGGCTTAAAAATGTCTTTCTCTCGGTTGCCATCAATTGGTCTTCTAAAGCAAGGGTAGATTTATAAGGAAAGAGATGACCTTCTCAATAGGGCAATGAACAGGCACTTTTATTTGTGCTTAGCAACTTATAAGAATAATACAATTCTTTATACATGGAAAAGAGTAAGTGGAGGTTACTAATTTTTAATGAGGCACAGGTCATAGTACTCAAAACAGCAGATCACGTTCCCTGTGCCCAGATACCACAAAATCAGGGATGATCCAGTCAACCCAGAAGTGGCAATTTCCAAAACCCTCCCAGTTACATCCTATATATGGAGGTCCAACCCCTTGTGAAGCTACCATAGGGCTGGGCAAAGCAAAAGAGTCTTAGAGAAACTAACCTTCACAAAGAGAGCTACACGATTTGGGTCTGTTGAAACAATGGCATAAAAAAAATAATAATTTTAGGAATAAAAAAAAAATGATTTCCAAGATATCCACCATAAAATTCTAGGTAAATATACTAACACTTAAATAGGGATTTATATAAATATATTCTGACACAATCAATTAACTTTACAAGAACATACTTAAAATAAGAATTACAGAATCTTGCCCAAACAAGCCCCCAATTATTAATTGCTTGTTGCTTTTAAAACAGGATGGATGTTTTTTTTTTCTTCCTGCATTTGAAGTTCAGTTATTAACCTTACATCCACCAACTAGGTTTCAGAATGCTTTCCAAGATCTGAGAGCCTCCTTAGTCCTTTTATCAGCTACACAACTCCAACAGCTGTGGCATTCCTCAACTTCATTTGCAGTTTCTTCAACATGCGGCATGACATCCAATGAATTATTAAATCCCAAAGCCGGCAAGAAGCATGAATGAAGAAGCATGTTCTAGGAAGGATTGCAAAGGACAAACTTAAAACTGCTGGGACAGTGTAATATTTGAAAGAAATGGCCAAAGTTGACTTCTATATAAAGATACAGTTATGGGTGAC